CCCCCCCCCCCCCCCCCCCCAGAGCTGGGGCTAGAACCCAGGACCCCTGACTCCCAGCCCCCTGCTCTACTCCATAATAATGCATTGTGCTTCCCCGGCTCCTTTCATCCCAGAATCTTCACACACCAGTGAAATACCCCCCGGTCACCCACTCTGGAAATCAGGTTTTCACCCCCACATCACTGATGGGGAAACGGTGCCACAGAGAAGGGAAAGGACTTCCCAAGGTCAGACAGGGACCGAGGGGGGCCAGAGCTGGAACAGAAACCCCCCCCCCCCCCCCCAAAGTCCTGGCCCCCCCCCTTCCCCGCCCCCACCACTAGACCCCCCTCCCCTCCCAGTGCCAGGAATAGAACCCAGGAGTCCTGCCTCCCAGCAACCCCCCACCCCACTCCCATCCCTTAGTTGCCTCCCAAGCTGCAGCCCAGGTGAGATTTAGGGGGAGGCTCATGGCAGAAACTGGCCAGTTTAATCAGGATGGTGGCGGGCAGGCGGGGTGGGGGGTTACCCCCTTCCCATATGGGCCAGCCCCCCAGGGCGGGGGAGCAATTGGGGACTTGGCAGCCAGGCTGGGCCTGGAGGCATCTCTGGGTGGGGGGCGCAAGGGGCTCCATTCTAGGGGGCATGAGGGGCTATACCCAGAACCCCTCCCCTCATTCCACCTCCCCAGTCTTCCAGCAGGCTCAGTGACGTTCCCCCATATCTGCAGCCTGCACCCCAGCCCTAGGGGTGTAACCCCTGCTCCCCCCCACCCCGACTGTTCCCTCCCTCAGACAGCTGCAGGTAATGCAGCCTGCCCCCCCAAACCTGTTCTCTCATCCCTCCTGCAACCTGCCTCCAGCTCCTCCCCCCCGAAACCTGCTCCCCCTATTGTCCCCAGTTCCTATACCCCAGCCATCCCACAGCACCTCCATCCCCCCCCCCCAAAGCCTGTCCCCCGTGCTCATATCCCAGCCCCTCCCCAGCAGCCCGGTCCCTGCCTGTACCCCCCAAAAAACCTGCTCCCCCTATTGTCCCCAGTTCCTATACCCCAGTCCCCCCGAAGCCTGTCCCCCGTGCCCACACCCCAGCCCCTCCCCAGTAGCCCGGCCTGTACCCAGACACACACACACCCCGATCTACTCCCTCTGTCCCCCCCGCTGCAGCCGCAAGGGAAGCAGACCCCCCCCCCGCCCCAGCTCAGGCACCTTGAGCCGGACACCCGCTCGACGCAGTAAAATGTCTCCCAGGCCCAGACTGCAGCATCCTCCCCGCACCTCCGCCCCCACCCCGAGCCCAGCCGGGCGGGGTGTGTGGGGGGGTCCCCAGCGTCTCCCCCACCGGCGCTGCTGAGACAGCCGGTGCCGGGTGCAAATCAGCTGGTACCTGGCTGCGGGACGGGGGGGGGGCTCCCCCTTCCAGCCCGATCGCTCCCCCCTGCCCCCGAGCAGGTGCAGCGCCGATCCCTTCCCAGCCGCTCCCTTTCCCGAAGTGGGGCAGCGCCCTGGTCCCGGCGATGCGCCCCGATCCCGTCCGGGGAGGTGTTAAACAAAGCCCCCCCCCCCCCCGCAAAAACCCAGCGCACAGACACAAGCCCTGCGCTATTGGCTGGCGGGGCGAGCCACAGCCAGGGATGGAGGCGATTGGCTGAGCCCCTGACCCAAATCGGGGTGGGTTTTGGTTTTTAACCCTTCAGAGACTGGAGGGAGTAGATTGAGCTGGGAGCTGCCCCCCCCCCCCTCTGTGGGGGGGGGGGGGGCCGGGCGCCCGCCCCCCCGCGCCGGCCCCCCCCCCCCCCAACGCGATTAGGAGTCAGAAAGGCCCATTGTGTTCCCCTCGGGTCCCCCCCCCCCCCGCGCCATAACTCAGCCCCCCTCCCCACCCTGAATTGAATGAGGGAAGATTTTCACAGGCACCAAATTCAACAGACTTGAATGTTTTCTTCTCTCGCCCCACCACCTCCCCCCAGCGGCCAGGATCCTGGAGAGTTCCCATGCTGGAGCCCACGGGGCCTGGTATTGTGTATTACTTATTAGGTGTAGTAGGGCAAAACATTTTCCTTGCTATTAGGTGCATTACGGTAGCACCCAGGCGCCCCAGCCAGGGCCCAGGACCCTATTGCACCAGGCTCTGAATAGTTTGAATGCTATTAGGTGTATTATGGTAGCACCTAGGCACCCCAGCCATGGAGCAGGACCCCCATCGTGCCAGGCGTGGTACATTTGTATTGCTATTAGGTGTATTACAGTAGCACCTAGGCACCACAGCCATGGAGCAGGACCCCATCGTGCCAGGCGCTGTACATTTGTATTGCTATTAGGTGTATTACGGTAGCACCTAGGCACCACAGCCATGGAGCAGGACCCCATCGTGCCAGGCGCTGTACATTTGTATTGCTATTAGGTGTATTATGGTAGCACCTAGGCACCCCAGCCATGGTGCCAGGCGCTGTACATTTGCATTGCTATTAGGTGTATTACGGTAG